TTATTACTACGAATGAATTAGGTAAACACTATCATCAAAAGTAAGCTAACCCTTTATAAAAAATTTTCAAAATTGTCACAAAAAAGGTATTTAGAAAGAATAGTCATCAGAATAATTAAAAATTAAAAAAGGTTAGTTTTTTTTAAAAAGTTATAAATGATATTTGATCACATTAAGAATTATTCTTTTTGTCGAAATGTTTGATTAATTAAATTGAAAAATAATTTTTTCCCTTTTTTCAATTTAATTTGTGCTATTTTTGAAATAAGGGAGTGATATTAAGTTCAGTTAAATTTATTGCTTCTTATTATGATGTAAGAAATTATTTATAGCAACATTATTATTTTTCAGAGTTTCTCTTTTCATTTACAATTTTTTTATAAAGCAGTTCGAACGACGAGCAAACGAAATTCTTTTATGTAAATGATAATATCAATTTTTGAAAATGGTTCTCGTTGTACATTACTAGGTAGAGAGCGTGGCGAGAAGATTAGCCATGGTGCCTGAAGGCGGTGCAACCCTGCCTATATATCTTCTTAGCTATCTTCAAAGTTTCTTGATCATCAAAACGGCCAATCCAATTCCGAAAAAGGAGCTCGAAGACGAGCCAATCGACGTAGACTCACTGAATACATACGACATACTCCAACGTGCCAGGTAAGAATTCTCGTAAATTGTCAAAGATTCTCTCATATCTTCAAAGATAAAGAGATCAAATGAATTTATTGTGCGCGAAGAAACTCGAGATTGTGCCGGATTATAAATGAAGCGAAATACTTTCCCCAATATCTGTTTTATCACAAATTGATTACCTGCATTCCTTCTTGCAAATTTCATGATCTTGCGAAATTTACGAAACCGATATGGATTAATAAACAACGACGGCGTAAAATTGTCGATGCTGAACAACGATAAAATTTATTGTGTCGCCGATTAAGTGTACTTTTATTGTACTTGTAACTTGAGCGGCAATTTCCGCGTCACGCAAAACGCTTCATCTCCCTTTCTCTTGTTCGCTCAGTCTCGAATTGACCCTATAAATTATCCTTACGAGACCCTAAAGACTGGGTAGAGCAATATATCCAGCCGGCCATCAACGAGGCGGGAAAGACGAAAACACCTGCCGTAATACCCGCCACGTACACTTTGACAAAGAACACTGCCATTTACTACTCGTCAGGTTATCCTCGGTAAAATCCGCTAGCAAGCCGTTTTACCGACTTATCCCTTCGTTTTTCTCCTGCCAGCAGTCCTTTGGTTTCTGACCCTTATGAAAGGTGCCCTCGATTATTCTACGTAACATTATATAAAGATAAGCGTACGCATATGCCTCGCGGAGCATGTATTGTAGCTCGCTTAAATTTATTTTTTCAAGGAAAAATATTATGTATCCAATAAAAGCATTATAAACGTGTTTCGTTAATATCTACAGTATTCGATATTTACGCGAAAAATGGAACGTGCGAAAGTGCTCAACTGTTCTCTGTAAAAAGAGTATGTGAAACTACATAAATAATATGTGCAAAAATTGCATAATTTTTAGTAGAAATATATAAAATTATACTAAAAAGTTTTACTGAAAAAATTAATACTTTTACTTCTAATTGTAAATATTTATCTATATTAGACGAAAAATTACAATAATAATATTCTATAATTGTTATGTAAATATGCTTTCCATAATATTATATTACATAATGATCATTATTATATTTGCATTTTTATTGATGTTTATGGATACCATAGCTTAAGAAAAATTGTAATTTGTCGGCGAATTATTATGTAAATATTTTATAAACTTATATAATATGTTTATAAATTTTAGTTTGTAAATTTATTTTTGTAAATCATTTAATTACTGAAAAATAATTTTATTTATAAGTTCTAATTTACGTGTGTAAATATTCATCTTTAATAGTCTCAAGATTATTCACTATATTCTGTTGTAATTTTATCCATTTTGTAATTTTACATGAAATTTTTTACAGTTGAGATACGTGAGAGAATTCATCGTTAAAGTTTTATTTGGAGGATAGAATTTCTTGTACAGATGTGAGAAAACGCTTTGGCACGATATCAGATATTTGAACGGATTTACGTACAAAAATCTGCGAGAGCAGTGGCTCATGTTTTTGTCCATACGAAAAATTCATTGCTCATGTCTTAATCGCAATGGTAAAATTTCAAGTTGGGAAACGCTATGTGCAAACGAGAGGAATCTTTAAACCAACCGTTATTGCTGTGGCATAAAATAGTGTAGAAATAATCGGCTAGTGTCTCTCACATGCCACGAAGCGATAGATTTACATACTTAAGAGCACTTATTCGCGCTCGTTGTGACTCGCGAAGTGTCGGCTGTCTACTGCAAAAGAAAATGGATCCTACGCTCCAACTTTCCTGGCAGTTTATATTTCCTTTTTTTTCTTTCTTTCTCTTATCTATATACATCGCTGCTCTTCATGCTTTCCTCTATGAATTAAAACTGCATTATTCAGAATATTTTCCGAGTGAATTCCGAAAAAAAAAGGAAAAATGTCGAAGTTCATTATCGATACGTAAAGTATATTTTTGCGAAGCGCATATGGTGAGAAAAAAATCGTAATTTCTCGAATAGGTAGTGTACGGTCGTGATCTGCAAAATTAAATGTAATTTGTTCAGTTAATAGTTGACATCTTTGCATAACATTTTAATATGTAATGTCGTAATATGTGTAATATCGCACAGAGCAGAATTTGCAGCGACACGCGCTGTTTTAATCAAAGCTTTTTCACGAAACAATTCGAGTTGTATTTTTCCCTCGCCGCTCACAGAAGGCGTATCTTGATGAATACTTAATTATTCTATTCAAGAATACTTTGTTTTCTTCTGTACACAAAGTGGGAACTCATGCAAAATAAGTTGATATTGTCGCATGATAGATACGAATGGCATTCAGCGACATGAATAAATAATATGTTGCTGATGCGAATGGCACGTTTTATTAGCGAATAAATTTCAGATCGATCGAAATAAGTTACGCTGATATAAGTTGCATCTTTAAAATTGCCAATATGTGCAACATATATAACTCGCGCGACACGTCCATCGTCCATGAACGAACACGTGCCGAAACACAGACGTGAACCTTCTGAATTTTTAATTCGGGGCGCACTGCGGTACACGCTCTTGCACACGCTCTTTCAATGTCCGCGAGTAAAATTCGCAAGCTCCAGGAGAGTGTCCCGCAGAGTACGATCGATATATCATGAATATATACCTCATATCAGATTTCACGAATTTGAAAGGGGCGTTATTGTCTTGATTTTTGCAAATGAATATTTGATGAATACGCGTTTTAATCTCCAACTTTCATTTGATTAGTTGGAAACGCGCAAATGTAGTTGCCTTATATATTAATTATTTAATAATCTGTATTTCATTTCGAAAGTCGATTCTCTTTCTTAATACTAAAAGAATCAATGTTTTTTTTTACTAAAAAGACGAATAAATTATTGTAATAATGAAGTGAATGGAAAAGATAATTTTTTGTTGAAATATTTAAAATGTTAAAACTTTTTGGAGCATTGCTTGAGATTCCCAATTATTTTGATGAACAGCCCAACAAAATTATTTTTAGATTTGTATCTGGCTAAAACTTTTAGATATTTTAGCAAAATTGTTTTTTCCATTTTGACGAAAAACTAAATATTTTATAGTATAAAGGATATAAAGGATACAATTATTGAAAAGTCAAAAAATGCCAGAATACTATTTTACACGAGAAATATAATAAGTATTAATCTAAAAAACTAGAATATATGACCACTTGATACTTCTAGTCTCAAATTGAATTAGGAAAGTTGAAAGTATTTTTAAGCTGTATTTGTCGAAAAGTTTGACTTAAATGTTGAGTAAAACTGAAGTTAAAACTAAAAGATTTTTCTCTTTGAAATAAATGAACAAAATTTTCTTAAATTAATAAAAGCTTTAAATTTCTTAGAAGAAAAGCTTCTTTGTTAAAAAAAAAAAAAGAAAACAGATATAGATAGGCTGAAGAATTTGTAGATAAACGGAAGATGGATTATTTATTTTATAGTTTAATTAAAATTATTACGAGAAGTCCATATCACACACTACTACAACCGGACCGATCAGTCGATGTAAAGAAAACTAGAGCTTATCCGCGATTTACAGCAAAAGAACATGTAAGAACGAAAGATTTTCTTAATATATCTTAAGGATTGTATTCGCTCGCTTAGTGAAGGCCAAGCGGGAAAGTTCCTACAGAGCGATATTGCCGAATATGAAACTCAAAAGCAGCAAGAAACTTCAGTATCCACGATCGTTGCGCGTCCGTGCCTCGAATTAGGCCATGTGGACTATGTTCGAATCGCTCTCAAGATACCGAAGGGATGGATAAACGTTCCACATCGCGCCGCGCCATACCGCACTGTGTCCCATTTCACGTAGCTGTTCCATAGGATCTGTCGTAATGAGAAGATAGGCACTGTAGTATCCTACGTCGGATTGTCCGTGACGTCAGTTGATCCTCTGGTTTTCTTTGAAAGCCAGAAGATCCTCTAGTTTTCTCTATAATCTCAGCAATAACTTGATATGCGATCAAGCAAGAGCTGACAGTTAATTTTTAACATTATAATGCTTATCAGCATCAATAAAATTAAATTGATTATCAATTTAACATTGTAATATTTTTTCATTTAAAAAAAACTACACAGTACTTGGTAAGTTATTTATCAAAATCATAAAAGTGAGATAGAAAATTTACAAAGTTTATTATTAGGCATAAAATGTTCACTTGATAATCGAAAACATTAACATTTATTTATTTTATATTATAT